TGTCGATTCAGGTCCAGGTCTTCGTATAGGCCCCATATATTAGTATCTCCTTATATTCGGTATTTTGACGATTTTAGGTACAATACTAACCGAAATTGTTTGAGATGTCGTATTTGAAGTTCGTAATAGATACTAGAGCCTGAGACAGAAGATTGTCGATGCAGGTCCAGGTCTTCGTATAGGCCCCATATATCAGTACCTCCTTATATTCGGTATTTTGACGATTTTAAGTACAATACTCACCGAAATTGATTGAGATGTCGTATTTGAAGTTCGTAATGGAAGCTACAGCCTGTGCCAGAAAATTGTCTATACTGATCCAGGTCTTCGCACTACCGATATAACGGTACCTCCCTAAATACGATATTTTGATGATTTTAGCTACATTATTCACCGTTTATTTCAAGTTTTCAAATTTGAAAATGATAGTGGCTTATGACAAACAACGCCTATGTAGTTCCACGTCGTATAGACCCCAATATAACGGCTATATTCCGTATTTTTAAAATTTTAACAGAATTTTTTAAGGATTTTATTTCTTGAAAATTTCCAAATTCGTTGTAAATGGTGGAGCGTATTCAAAGTTCGGCCCGACCGAACTTATAGCTTTTTAACTTGTTTTTATTCAGCTTTCTTGAAAACACTGTGCCCTCCCCTTGCCAGCTGTTAAGGACTCAGGGTCAAATTGAGAAATTCTAAAATGTCCCTCATCTATATTCTGGTACTAAAATGTCTATGATAATTTTATTTATGTTCATCCTTTCAGCTGTGCTTTGCCACACAGCAGAACAGAGCGTATAGGCAGTCATGACTACTGCTTTCAGCAGTCATAAAGATTTCTATATATATGTATGTAAATATATATACGTGAGCATGTGTGGATGTGTGTGACTAAGTGGTCGCTTGGGTGTGATGTATGCATACATCTACACATCTCTCTCTATGTGTGTGTGTGTGAGTTAGTTAATATGATTTGGGAGGGTAAATGATGAATTATGCTGATAACAAATGTTGTTGCAGATTATTCCGCTTGTTGTCATTCTTGCCACATACACATGTATTTCTTAACCAAAACATAGTCTAAAACACATACACAATTATATTCACACTCCCACACACACACACACACACACACACATAGAGAGAAATACAACTTATTTAAGCTCACTTTAAGCCTATTTCCTCTGAACAGTTTATTTTTTCTTTCTTTTTCAAATGCTGCTAATGCGGCTTTAGTTTGTCAATCTTATTAAACTTACAACACTACAAAATTTAACTACGACTACTGCTGCTACAGCAACTAACTACCAATCCAGCCACCATTTGTCAATATATCCTGGTGTGTATTATTTTTTTTTTTTTTTTTTTTGTTATTGTTGTTTTTTCTTTTGTACACATGTGAAGGATATATTACTGTTGTCAAAAGGATTTATGGATTTGTGTATATTTAAGTTATTTGTCGACATTGTTGTTGTTGTTGTTTTTGGTTTTTTTTTTGTTTGCCTTTGCAAAGTGTTGACATTATTTGGATTATTCAGCTTTTGCGAATATTTATCGCTGAGTGATAACATAATTTATCTATAGTTTGACAAAAGGGGCTTAAAACAGGATATGAATGTATTTAAGCGGAATTTGTTGGGAGTTAGGAGGAGACAATGTGATTTGTTGCAATAAAGTTTTTTTTTTACTAAAAATAAGGGTAATCTTAAAAATTACTTTCGGGGATGAATTTTATCTGATTAATTGCAAATAATAACAATCGCAAATTTTATATAAAACAAAAAAAAAAAAAAAACAAGTAAGAAAAGGCTATAGCCGTGCGAGGCCGACCATGTGATACCCTATAACACTACAATATGTGAGAAGCCCCCTAATGTCCAAATCCATTTTGGAAGATTTCGCTTTTGAAATTATGTCACGGAGCACTGCCCAGCTATTACCCTTAGCATTTTGACCAGGGACATTTTCCCAATATTTAGGCACTCCGTCGTGCTGTTAGTTGTTGTGGTCCATTTTACGGCTAAATATAATCCAATGGTCATCTAAAATGCTAGAATTCTTTATTGTGCTTAATTATCTTCTTGGCTTCAATTGTGCGATCAGGATTTCTTTTTTTTTTTTTTTCTAAATATTTTTCGATCATCTCCAAAAGCAATTTTGCTATATTCGTCAAAGAAATTAGCATAAAAAAGCCAGAAGTTCGCCTATTGTGTATTTCGGATATCGCCTGTAAGTAATGTTGGTATTTTTTTCACACAAAAGTAGTGGTCCATTCTACCCCCTGTCTTAAATTCTAACTTCATTGAAGCTTTCGTGTCCTTTGGTTTCTATTTGTGACCTTTATAACGGCTGCCAAATCAGGAACATTTTGAGTTGCTGGTCCATTTCAAATAAATATATTGCGAACATCTTTGAAAACAATAGGCTTAGCCCTTCTGAGCCTAACCCTACCTTTGTCAAAAATTTCGTAAGGATCGAACTATAATTGCAATCTGTATATACATAATAACCCCAACCTCTGTTGTAAAGTGCAAAAATATTACAAAATATTCACTTTAATATTTGAAGTCAAATTGAAAAAATCGCATGCGATAAAAAATATGAGAAAATAAAAAATATGTCACAAAATACTACAAAATCTGTATTAACATCATTATTGGCATGTTTTATGCGATTTTTTTAGATTTTTACTTTTATGCCAAAAGGGCATTCTAATTTTAAAAAATATGTCAAAATCGCTCCAGCCATTCTGGAGATATAAGCATTCTAGCTAACATCCCCTTCCTAACATCCCCTTCCGATAGTAAAAATATCGGATATGTGTAGCGAAATATATACAATGTATAACATTGTATATATTTCGCTACACATATCCGATATTTTTACTATCGGCATCTACGTAACGGTCAGAATTGACCTGATTTCGCCGGCATTAAAAATATTCGCGTTTTAATGGAAAATTTGACTTTTATTTATCACAAATGCTATGGTCTATTTCAACCACTAATTATTACCCGATGACCATCAAAATTGGAAGGCTTCTGCCCAGCGCAAAGCTCTAGCCCCATGCTAACTTTCGATTCGATTGGTCTATAATTGTGACCTGTAGAGCAACTGCAAAATCAGGAAGTTTTTCAGTTTTTGGTCAATTTCAACCCCTAAATATTATGCGATTATCCCCCAAAAAATACGGTTCTATTCTGATCCTAACCCCACCTCCATTTTAAATTTCGTGAAGATCGGGCCATAATTGCGACCTGTAGAGTGATTACAAATTAATGTCCGTGTATCAATGTTAATTTTTAATCACTCAATAGGTCGGAATTATGATCCTACTAGAACGGTACGAAAATTATTAAAAGATACTAAATGCAAGGTGGGATAAAAAAAAAAAAAAAACTACAACAAAGTTGAACGTAATTATTTTTACTTTTTTTTTAATTTCATTGAATTAAAGCAAAAAATATCGAAAATAGCGCCAAACTTTAGAATAAGTTTAGATTTTTTCGAATTGGCCTTCAAACGACCAATAAAACCGTCACACGCTGCCCAATGTTGCTCTGCGGTATTTTGGTCAATTCCAGGCGAAGCGCTTGTTTCAGAGGATCGACACTTTGCTATTTTTTAGTGCCAACCTTGCTTTCCAAAATATTCCAGACACAATAGTCCAACGTATTGGTATCCGGAGATTTTGCTAGCCATTGTGCGCTGGAAATGAAGCGAAGAACCTTATTTTGTAACCATTCTTAGGTGGCGCGTGCTGAGTGCGATGGTGCTGTGTCCTCTTGGAATGTTCAAGTTGTGTGGCCAAAATGTTTGCGTGCCCAAGTCTTTAATACACGCTCCAGAATATTTTCGCCATAATATTTGGCATTAATTCTGATGCCACGGTCGGCTGTTATGGCGGCCCATACCATCACCATTTCTGCTGTGGTTACGGTTTTCTTCCGTCCACTTCCTTGACGTCGGGCTATGCTACCAGTGCCACGGTAACGAGAGATGGTACGAGACACAAAATATTTATTCACATCTAAATGCTGGAGTGCTCTAACGATAGCCACTTGTGGTCTTCCAGCTAAATATAAAAAAATCACACTAACACGCTTAAATTCCATCACGAATAACTTTTTTTCTGGAAAATTCTCATCAAAATGCTTTCGTACACTTTTAAACAATATAATGAGCTGTCACTGGAAGAATTTTAACAGCTGTCGGACGAGTGGCTTAAAAATGACAGCAGCATAAAATTGGTTGCATTTTTTTCATCTCACACTAGAGTTATCTCTCTATTTTTTAATTTATGGCATTTTTTTCCAAAAGCACTATTCTCAGTTCTTCCTAAGTTTTATTGCTTTTCAGACATAGTTGGTTATAAGGTTGGTTGTGCTACAGAAATGAAATTTAAAAAATGTATTTTTTTTTTAAATTGATTTTTTTCAAAATATTAAACATTCATTAATTAAAACTACATCTCTTGCCAAAGTGCAGCTCTTATGGTAGAAAATTTGTACCTTTTCTTCATTTTAGTACGATTTTAGGAACTCCACCCTATTTCAGGACTTGCAACATGTGAAACTTCAAGATTTTACATCGAAAATTAGAGAGCTTAACATCAAAATTCATTTTGAGTACCCAAAATTATGCATTTTCAAAAACCCATCCTCATCTCAGATTTTCTCACCAAAAGCCCTGTTGCTTTAAAGCCTATAAACATATTTTTCGGGAAGTAAAGCTTCCCGGTGATAATCGGGAGAGGACTTTATTTATTTAGGGATCTCTCCCGTGTTTACCATATCAGTTCATTTTTTTTTTTTTTGCTCCTGACAAAAGTTGTTGAACAATATTTTTACAGAATCAAACATTTATTGAATCAAACATTTATTTCATAAAAATTTACATATTTCCAAAGTAAAATCAAAACCACATTAAAATTTAAGCCTCACTTATACTCATATTCTAATAACATATTTCCCCTACTTTCTATCTCCTTCTAATTTCAGGGGCACATCCGGCATAGATATTGATTTGCGGCGTGTCGATATCGATCAGTGTCCACAGCGTAATATACCCGGCTCAACAAAGCCACTCAACATTTTTGCTGGTACCGATAAATGTAAACAACGCACAACAATGGTAGGTTTCAACCTGGGGCAGGCCAAGGCCAAAATTGCTAAAAAAGCAACAACACCAACACCCAATGGAATGTAAATAAACATTCCCTTGAATAAACACACACGCACATACATACAACAGAACGCAAGAACAAATAACTGCAGATGGAATAGAAACCGACCGACCGAGAGACAGACAAACAGACTATAACGAAAAGATTTCTTCAGTATTTGGTCGAAATCCACAAACATGCGAAATGTGCACGAAATACTTCTTAACTTTACATCTTATTTTTTTATTTTCTTCTTTTCTCTTTTACCATGTTCTTTTGTTATTCCATAACCCTCCCTTTTTTCCCTGAACTTCCCAACAAACAATGAAATTCCCAAAGTGTGAAGCCATTCAGGGTTTAGGCTTTCGTCGTGGTTCCTACAAATGCGTCTGCCGTAAAGGTTATTATTTTCCGGATACAACAAGTCATCACAAATATTTCAATGGCAGCCTGCTGGAGGAGGAGTACGAGAAACTCATGCTGGTAAGTTGGAAAAAACACAGAATTCTGCCCATTCGCTTTAAGACTTTGTTTTATGTTTCTTCTTTTTAAATTTGTTTGTATTTTTGCTTTTTTTATGAATTATCTTCATTTTACTAATCCAGTAAAATGAGAGAATTAACTTTTGGGTAGGGGGGCGTATGAATATTATTTAATAAAACAAACACCGCAGACATAACTTATACGCCGGGATGTATTAATTTTATGCTTTGTGGAAGCTACTTGGATTTAAAATATAAAAATGGAGGAGAAAATTTACAATTTAATAGAAGTTGAGAAAAATTTGTGTTATACGCAAAACATGTAAAAAAACTGTAGCTGAAGCTGAATACCCTCCACCATTTGGAACGATTTTGGCAATTATCAAAAGCAATAAAATCCGTTCAAAAATTCTGTTAAAATCTTAAAAATATCAAATTTGAAAAAAATCCGGTGTGGCAAAAATAAACAAAGTACCGAATATCGGGAGGTACCGTTATATGGGGGCTATACGAAGACGTGGACCTGCACAGATAATTTTCTGTCATAGGCTGTATTATTCATTTCAAACTTCACATGACAAATTTGAAACAATTACGACGAATATTGACGCAAATATTATAAAAATACCGATTATCGGGAGGTACCGTTATATGGGGCCTATACCAAAACGTGGACTTGCATGGCACATTTTCAATACCAAAAGTTCTGCAGACATAATATACATTTGAGTAAAATTTTATCAATCTACTTCAATTCGTTCGGAAGCTAGAGTGATTTCCACAGACGGATAGACGGACGGACATCGCTAAATCGATATTGAATTTTATGCTGATCAAGAATATATATACCTTGTGGGGTCTAAAATGTATATTTCGAGGTGTTGCAAACGGAATGACAAACTTAATATAACCTCCATACTATGGTGGCGGGTATAAAAACTACTATTTTTCATGGCAGAGGACCTTTTCTTCTACGGATGGAAGGCTTTATAAGGGTATTCCTATAAATTCTCTAAGAATCGTTTTTTGCAGACATAATACAATTTGTAGGTAAACATTAGACCACCAAAACTTCTCCTTTTGGAACATAATTTTTTGAAGCTAAGCTAGGTCCCAATTCTAATTCCATAAGAATGTCTTTTGCCGATATAAATCAATTTGAAGATTTTCTGTGGATAGAAAATCTGAAATTGGTGTTTATTGACACTTGCTAAGGCCCATTGGATCGACAATTTTAAATTAAATATTTTTTAATGAATGTGTCCTATTTAAAAGATTTGTTTTTAATGACCTCCAGAGCTACCATCTTGAGAACATAATTTCATTATTTGTCAACGTTAATAAAAATATTTATTTATTAATCTGGAATATTATTTAAAACTTTTCATAATTCTTTTTTGTGGCAAATTTTATTATATGTTTTATTATACACGGACACTTTAAGATGATTTTTGAGAACCTCAGGATGAGCTATCAAGCATTGGTTGAATGAACTGGACATAAGTTACAGTAAATCTTAAAAGGACTTTGAGAAATTTTATTGTAGATTTTTCAATGGAGTTTGAAGAGCTATCCGAAATTTGTCATGTTTTAATACGCTCCACCATACATAGTATGAAGGGTATATCAAGTTCGTCATTCCCTTTTGCAACTTATCGAAATAACCATTTTACACATAACAGAGTACATATGCTCTTGATCAGCGTAAAATTCTAAGACGATTTAGCCCTGTCCGCCTGCAGGTCAAGTGCGAAGATGGCCTATATCGATCCACAATATCGTATAGACCCCCTATACAACCATTCCCCCCAATATTCGGTATTTTGATAATTTTACCGCATTTTCCAATGGAATTGTCTGAAAATCTTTCTGAGTACTTTACCCTCTGGAAGAGAATTGTTTATATAGGCCCACGATATCGTAGAACCATACAATACAACAATACCCCCCGATATACGATGGTTTGATGATTTTAGCCATATTTTCCAATAGAATTTTCTGAAAATCCATTACCCGCTGGAAGATAATTGTTAATATAGGTCCAGGAAATCGTATAGCCCCCATACAACGATACCCCCCGATGGTCGGTATTTTTCAATGAAATTGTCTGAAAATAAACACAAGACGTTCCTTTTAAGTACTTCATCGTCTGGAAAAAACGTCTGTATAAGTCTACGATAGCCCCCTTCAGCGGTACGTCCGATTTGCGGTATTTCGATGATTGTAACCAAACTTTTCAATAAAATTGTCTGAAAATCCACATAAGGACTTCCTTCTGAGTAATTCATCCCCTGAAAAAATTATTTCCAAATACGTGCACAATATTGTTTATCCCCAATAAAACTAAAAGTTATAGCTCCCTGGGGCTATACCAAAACGTGGATTAACACACAAGAGCCACAAGAGCTAGAACCCATTATGACCCACAAATACAAATTTTTGGAGAAATCCGCAAAAAAATATGCAAAAATCATCGAAATTCCGAAGATACCGTTCGGAAGATACCGTTATATGACCCACAAATGACAATTTTTAGACAAATTAGTGGGAAAATGTGGAAAAAATCATCAAAATACCGAATATCGGGAGACACTGTTAGATGGGGCTATACAAAAACGTGGACCTATACATACAATATTTCGTAACCGGAGCTAGAACGTATTATGACCCATAAATACCAATTTGTAGAAAAATCAGTGAAAAAAATGTGGCAAAAATCATCAAAATATCAAAATATCGAATATCGGGACCCTTGTATGGGAGCTAAACCAAAACGTGGAGCTGTAGATACAATGTTTCGCCACACAAGCTAGAACTCATTATAACCTACAAATACCAATTTGTAGAAAAATCCGTGAAAAAATGTGGCAAAAATAATCAAAAAGTCAAATATCGGTCATACTCTTGTATAAGAGCTATACCAAAACGTGGACCTATAAATACAATGTTTCGCCACACAAGCTAGAACCCATTATGACCCTCAAATAGCAATTTTTGGATAAATCCATGGAAAAAATTAGAATACAGGAACTATACCAAACCGATGTATGGACCGATGTATCTCATTTTCAATACCAACCATCCAGTACAAATTGTTCTGCTAAATAATGACGCTCTACGTCAAATAATGTGGACTGTATCGTGATTTCAACACGTCGTTAAATCGACTTAGAATTTTATGCTGATAACGAATACAGGGTTGCCCATATTCGACGGACCCATGACCCATTCCAATCGACGAGGCTTGTCCGCAGACAACATTCTTTGCGTCAATTGAATTTTGTACGGGAACAAATGCAAATCAATGCGAATAATCCGTTGTAAAGTGGACCGAGCCATGCCCAACTGCTGAGAACGGCGTTTTTGGGATGTTCTAGGGGACCTCTCAACACTGGCTCGTACGGCAGCGATATTCTCGGCCGATAGCCTTGGTCGACTTTTATATGGCCTCTTCGGATTAGAAAGAGCCTTACCAGTCGAAAATTTTTTGTATAAACGCTTTATGGTGTTCATTGAAGGCGTACTTCTTACATTTTTTAATGTTTTAAAAGCACGTTGAGTTTTCACAATTGACTTCTTCTGTTGAACGTAAATTTCAACTATTTCACAGCGCTCGCGTGGCGTGTATTGGTTCATGGTAAAAATCAGCTTGGACTGACGCTTCAAACGCGGTATGGCATTAAGCGATGTGACATCTCTGTCAAAAGGTATGGCGTTGCCAGATGGATCCGTCGAATATGGGCAACCCTGTATATACTTTATGGGGTCTACGATGAATATTTAGGGATGTTACAAACGGAATGACAAATACCCTGCTTTCCAAGGTGGAGGATATAAAAAAAACAAGTAAGCAAAGGCTACAGTCGAGCGGGGCCGACCGTTGAATACCCTACAACACTATAATAAACGATACAGTTTATATAGGCGAGATACTCGAAAGAATTCCACAAGATATTGTGACAAATAATAAAAGAAAACCATCAGGTTTCGTTCTCTAATTTTCGAATAATAGCAGCTTAAACTAATTTGCTCATTTCCAATTTATTGGTAGATGTTGCACGTAAATGGTCTTCCTAGATCTGGAACCAATATTTCCCGAAGACCTATAATCTCTCAGAAGTGGCAAAAGATTAACATTTATTATTGACTATATTCTTCAACGAAATCAGCGTTAACGAAATAGTCAGAAGTGTGTCTTTCCTATATTTGTGAATTCTCCAAAAGTCACTGGAATGGACATTTTCGTATTTTGTCTACAAAAGTTGGCAAACTCCTTTACACATTGAATATTTTTGGATGGCCAAAACTGCTTGGCTTTTGCAATGTGCGGTAACCCCCATTCAAATGTGCGTGAGGACCGGGCGATAATTACGACCTGCTGACAATTTTGCAGTTTTTTGTCCATTTCAACCCCTAAATATATGGCGATCATCTCCAAAAAGAGTAGGCTTCTATTCTGACCCTCATCTTATCCCCATGCAAAATTTCGTAAGGATCGGACCATAAATGCGATCTGTATATGATATCCGGATATCCTTACTACTTAGTTTTGTTAGCTGTAGAAATATTACCAAATGTTTAATTCAAAATGAAAATATGCCAAAAATATGACAAAATTGAAAAAATATGAAAAATGTTACAAAATCAATATTTTCATCTTTAGAGAGATATTTTTATGCGATTTTTTAGACGTTTTATGTTTCCTACCAAGAGGCCATTCTGAAGTAATGAGAACTGTCGAAATCAGTTCAGCCGTTCTCGACATATATGAGATATTTCAAGCATATCTTGTTTGATAGACATATATATCGCACATATTTTGCTATATATCCGATTTGTTGTATGTTAACATCAATATAAAGGTCAGAAGTAACCTTGTCATGACTTTGTGATTTCGCCGGGATTTAAAATATTCGCGGTTTAATGAAAAATTTTCAACAAAAAAGATATGGTCTATTTTAGCCGCTAAATATTATCCGATGATCACCCAAATTGGTAGGCTTCTTCCCCGCCCTAAACTCTAGCTACATGCGAAATTCCGCGTCGATTGGTCTATAATTGCGACCTGTATAGCTACTGCAGAATCCGACATTTTTTCAGTATTTGGTCCATTTCAACCCCTAAACATTTGGCGATCATCTCCAAAAAAATAGGGTTCTATTCTGACATTAACCCGACCTACATTTTAAATTTCGTGAAGATCGGGCCATAATTGCGACCTGTAGAGTGATTACAAATTAACATGGACAGACGGACAGACGGACGGACGGACATACATAGCTAGATCGACTCAGCTCGGCGTGCTAGGAAGATCCATATATACTTTCCTATATGGGAAACCAATATTTCGAGGTGTTACATAAATTCTGGCCCAATCAAACTTATAATACCCCCAACACATAGTGTTGTAGGGTATAAACACTTCAACATCATTCAAAACTAAGACACATAATTATAAGCTCTAGCTTTTCCAGGTCTCTTTTGAGAAATTGCGCCATATTTTGCACATTTTAGATCTCTTCGTACCCTTTTTTACGAATTTTGAAATCTCTGTAATATTAAAAGCCCATCTTAACCGTTGCTTAATATTTACTTCGTTTTCATGTGCTTTTAAATAATTACCACACTTCTCTGTCGTTTTTATCATTAAACAATTACGACGAGTTTAAAACGCAATTGATGTCACATTACAATTTCTTGGAAAATGAAGTCACATGCACGGCAGATCGAATCCTTGAATTGTATGTCCTTTCCTCACAGATTACTCCTTGTTCGTAGCCACAACGATGAATGCAGACCACTGACCACAGAGGTTTTTCGTTCACCTTTCCATATGAAATTATTTGTAAATCCAATAATTACTTACTGTCCCAGCCGCATTTGTTCATAGGCCATAGCCAGTGGACGGAACAGATGCCAGACTTAATAAAAAAAAAAATAAAGAACCCCGGTTTAATTAACTTGCAATATAAACTACCAACAATGTGCAAGCCGGTTGATTCTCTTACCTGTCCGGCAACAGACTTCGACGATGACAGTGAAAGTATGTCTTAAAAAGGGGAAAAGGATGTAGAGGAGAGAGAAAATGTGCCGCCTCTTAAGTTATGGCTTTTAATAATGGACTCAGATGCCAATAAATGTTGTGGACGGTCTCCGTGGTGTGCCAAGAGTTCGCTGGTTGTTCGATGCTGAAACAATGGTGTATGATAGCAACCTCTGGAACCATTACAACAATTAACAGCGGCAAATGTGTGCCATCGTTGTGTATGGCTACATATGTGGGGCATTCCATACATCAGGATGCGGGGTTCAGAGAAAATTCATTTGAGATGTAATTCTGGAAAAAGAAAATATATTTTTTTTTCGATTTATTTCTGTTTTATCTTCTTAATATATACTTTTTTTAATTTTTTTTTTTATTTATTAATTAATTTATTTATATATGTTTATTAATCTTCTTATTTATAAATTTTTATTTTATTCAACTCCGCCACAATTTGTATGTTATTATGTTTTTATTGTGTCTTCCTTCAGGGCAAAAATTCAACATACAACATCATCAATGAATACGAATGCCTGCCCTGTGCCGAGGGCTGTGACTCCTGTGAAGACGGCTCGCCCTGCATAGCCGCACTCAATTGGCCAATGCGTACAAGCATTTTGGTTTTGGCCTGTATTGTAATTGGATTACTGCCACCAGCTGCTTGGTTTACATTCCGTTATCAACAAGTTAAGGTAAGCAGAATATCTTCACCTATACCCGTACACACACATAGCAATACAGCCATAGACACACACACACACACACACACGTGGACAACACTTAAATGCCATTGTGAAAATTGAATCTATGTTAAGCCCGTGTAAGCTTCTCCGGTAATATGTGGTCAGGCTTTTTGAAGATAATTTGTTTGTGTCTTAAAATTAACAAACTTAACTGGCCCACAATACAAAAGCCAAACAAACACACCGACTGCTTGTGGTGGGTCAGATAATAAATTACTTTTTAATGGGCATATTTGTTCGGTGCCTTAAAATTGGGGAAAATGACTGAGGATTTAAAATATTTTAATAAAATTTAAAATAAAATAGCAGTATATTATTTAAAGATAAAACCAATAAAGAAAGTCTTAAAGTCGGGCGGGGCCGACTTTATGATACCCTACACCATATTGCTAATTTAGTTGAGCCCCACTTAATAATTAAAAGTTTTCATGGGAGAATTCAATCATACACGCTATGATTATAATTATAATTTAAAGTTCAAAAGATTAAATATGCCGAAGCATTTGTATCTTTTAAATTCGGATTTGTATTGCCCATTTAGTGTACAATTAATTTGAAATCGGATAAAAATATATATGGGAGCTATGTCCAAATCGGAACCGATCTCGATAAAATTTGGCAAATTTGGATATTTCTGAGCTGTATTTGATATATTTCCCTGAATATCGTTGTTACGGAGTTCATATTACGGCTGTGGGTAACAAATATAACAAATCGGACGAAAAATATATATGGGAGCTATAGCTATATCTGAACCGATCTTCACCAAATTTGACATACTAGCTTCTAGACTCAATTTGGTCGTAAGTGCCAAATTTCATCCAATTTGGGCAAATATTAGACGTTTGGTGCACAATCAAAGGTAAATCAGACGAAGTGCCTAATCAAAACGTGTCTCTTTGATATTTGGAGTCGATCTAGAGATGTCCGTCCGTCCGTCTGACTATCTATCTGGCTGGTGCGCAAGATAACTCTCGAAGAAGTATCCGATGTTGTCCAAACTTGGTACATCGTAATATTTTTGTCAAACTTAGAAGCTCCCCCACAAAAGGTCGAAATTTTCAAAAAATATTTTTTTGCACATAAAGAGAAACGATATTCCGATTTTGCTCCAACTTTGCAAATCCTAATATTGGCATTGGTGCTAGGTCTGGTGTGAAAATGGATAATATCGGTCCACTCCATCAAGTACCTCCCCCATAAAATTTTGAATAATTACTACTCTCATAAAATGTGATGTAAAAGTCAGTGTGTCTTCAAATTTAACACATCCCAATATTTATATTAACCCAAGGTATGGTGCTAAGATGGAATATATCGGTCTACTCCTTCTGGTACCTCCCCCACATATGTTCGATTTTTTCAAAAAAAAAAAAATACTTTTTGCACAGAAAGAGAAACGATAATCTGATTTTGCTCCAACTTTGCAAATCCTAATATTTGCGTCAGTGCTCGGTCTGGTGCGAAACCGGAAAATATCGGTCCACTCCATCAAGTACCTCCCCACAAAGGGTCAAAATTTTAAATAATTACATCGCTCATAAAATGTGATGTAAGAGTCCGATCTTCTTAAAAATCCACATAACCCAATAATTTTATTAACTCAAGGTCTGGTGTTAAAATGGAATATATTGGTTCCATTCCAGTACCTCCCCCACAAATGGTTGAAATTTTCAAAAATATATATAAGAGAAACGATAATCCGATTTTTCTCCGACTTTGCAAATCCTAATATTTGTGTCAGTGCTAGGTCAGGTGTGAAAATGGACAATATCGGTCCACTCCATCAAGTACCTCGCCTCAAAATTTTGAATAATTAAAACTATTTCAAAATGTGATGTAAGAATCCGATTGTTTTCAAATTTCACACATCCCAATATTTATATTAACCCAAGGTCCGGTGTTAATGGACACAAATGGTCGAAAGGAGAATCCGATTTTGCTCCAACTTTGCAAATCCTAATATTTGCGTTAGTTCTATGTCAGGTGCGAAGACGGAAAATATCGGTCCACTAATTCTGGTACGTCCCTCACAAACGCTCAAAATTTTGAATATCCACAAAGTTTATAAAAAGCGAAATCAACATCCGATTCCATTACAGACATGGTACATCTAAAATAATTCCATCAACACAGGATCTGTTATAAAGATGGTACAGATCGGAGCATTTCTTTTGCTACCAGCTCCACATAGGGTTAAAGATACAAACATTTTTGCTAATACAAGATGCAAGATCTGTTGTGAAGATGCTATATATCTTCGAACCCCCTTCTGGTACCTCAACCACAAAGGGACACAATTTTCAAAACTTTTATCTGTCATAAATTGCGAAACAACTCAGTGATTTTTTGTAACTTGCTAAATCTAAATATATGTCTCTCTACCAGAATCCTGAGATGAATATGGAATTTAAGATTTTCCATAAATTGGATATAAATGTTCGATTTTCTTATATATTCATAATAATATTTATATCATATTTATTTAGGTCCGATATGAAATGGACAATATTGACTCATTCTTCCAAAATCCACTCCATATAGGGTCAAGAGTTTGATAATTCATAACAGAAGTCAAAATATTTTTAAATAATCGAACATTGGCTGAGGGTATACATCTGTCGGCAAAACCGACCAATACTCTTTTACTTGTTTTCTTCACTTCCAATAACTGTCGAGAAAGTGACTTCCACGATTATTAGAAGTAACGCTGTATGCGCTATTTAGTCATCCTTAAAACCATCGCTGGCGTGGTTTATTTCTTATCGAAGGATGCTCCTTTCAGGGTGAGAAAGCAATATCAAACGCAATGATTTATATCGCTTAGGTGTGACTTTTAAGTGATCTGGGGGATATTTTTTGCTTGCTGAAAATAAACCCTCGTGCCATACATTGGGTAACCTATTCATTAATTTTATGACTTTTCTTAAATAATGTTCACGAACAAATTGTGTATGAATTGAACCACAGCAAAACTACACCATTTAATCTTTCCCCCTTTTATCCAAATTGTTTCGTGTGAAAATTAATGGTTAAAACAAACGCTTAATTATACAATTAAATTTTTTTACATTTTGTTTTTTGGATCGTTTTTTTTTCTATGCCATTAAATAAATTCCTCGAAAAAGCCATGATGATTTTTTCTGTATGAATTATTTAAATTACGGGTGGATTTGAATAGTGGCTGGTTAATGTCTTCCTTTTTTATTACAGGTTGTGCGTGCTGCCAGTCCCGCTCTATTACGTGTTATTGCATTGGGTGCCTTCTTCATTTATTGTACGGTAAGTTGGAACAACGCCCCTCTTTTGCAGAATTTAAAGTTACTCGGGATTTTCGAAGGGTGGTTGGTTGGTTTGGTGTCCCGCATCCACCCTTTTTGTATTTTTTTTTTTTTATTTTTTCGCTTGAAATAATTTATGAATATTTCCAAAGAAACGAAAAAAAGAGAGAGAAAAAAATAAAATAATCATCTTTCGTGTACTGTAATGGCAGTACAAAGGGCAACGAAAAAACAACAACATCAACACTAATTACAGGTAGCAGTACAAAGCGAAGAAAATCATGAAAGCAAAAACCAACACAGCTTGACTTAATTAAATAATTTGCATTTTAATATTTTCTGCCTGACATAAAACAAAATCCTCACGAACCATGGAAATCTTCATGGCCATGGCCAAGATGCAATGCATCAAGACAGTTGTATATTTTCTTTATTTTTTATTCCATTTTTTTCGACCGAAATGATTTAATATTTTAGTGAAGGGATGAGGACACAAAAAAGGATAAAACTAAATTTTCTTTTGTAAGTGATGTTTTTTTCGTGGTTGAGCTAAAACTTTACGAAGGCATTGGAATAAAGAACCGGATTTTTTATTTTTTCCTAAATTATTTTTAATCTTTCTTTCTGAAAAACAAAGGACTCTGAAAAACCTATTTACAGGGTTGTCCATATTCGACGGACCCATCTGGCAACGCCATAACTTTTGACAGAGATGTCACATCGCTTAATAACATACCGCGTTTGAAGCGTCAGTCCAACCCTGTATAACCTACAACACTATATATTGGGGGTATTATAAGTTTAATTGAGCCAAACTGAAAAAATTCCTGATTTTGCAAGTTCTCCACAGGTCGCAATTATACACCAATCGACGCGGAAGAAAGCATGGGACTAGAGCTTGGGGCTGAGCAGAAGCCTTTCAATTTTATCGTCATCGGGTAATATTCAGTGGGTGATGGACCATAACATTAGTGTTAAATAAAAATGAATTTTCCATTAAACCGTGAATATTTTTAATCCCGGCGAAATCACAAATAGACGAACAGGTCAATTCCGACCGTTACGTAGATGCCGATAGTAAATATATCGGATATATAGTGAAATATATACAATGTATATATACAAAAGAAGAAGATGTTAGCTAAAATGCTTATATCTCAAGATTGACTGGACCGATTTTGACAAATTTTGTTAATGCCCTCTTGGCATAAAAGTATAAAATCTAAAAAAATCGCATACAAATGTACCAATAATGATGTTAATATAGATTTTGTAGTATTCTGTGACTTTTTTTTATTTTTCATGCTTTTTATTGCATGCGATTTTTTTGAATTTGACTTAATATTGAAGTGTACATTTTGTAAAAGTTTTCACTTTACAACACAGGCTGGGGTTATTATATACAGTCTGCAATTATCGTCCGATCCTCACGAAAATTTTAACAAGGGTAGGGTTAGGCTCAGAAGGGATAGGCCTATTGTTTTCACAGATGTCCGCAATATATTTCGGGGTTGAAATGGACCAAAAACAGAAAAAGTTTCCTGATCACACAATTGAAGCCAATCGACATGCCTGAGAAGAGAGTTAAGGACAGGGAAGAATTCTAGCATTTTGGATGATCATTGGACTATATGAAACTCTAAGATGTACCACAACAACTAACAGCACGAAGGAGTGTGTAAATATTGGGCAAATGTCCCTGGTCAAAACGCTGAGGGTGATATCTGGACCGTGCTCCGTGACATAATTTCAAAAGGGAAATGTTCCAAAATGGATTTGGACACAAGGTGGCTTCTAACATATTGTAGTGTTGTAGGGTATCACATGGTCGGCCCCGCACGACTGCAGCCTTTGTTTACTTATTAAAATTAAGTATATTATATTTTACGGCACCAACGAAGCCATAGTGGAAATGCAGGGACCGGGCCCTATCAGAAAATGTAAATTTTAAAGCAGTTTCTGAATAATATTCGACTCACTCAAAATGGTTTCGATGGGCAATTATGACCACATCAGTAGCGATAAATATATTAAGATATTGAAAATAGGGCGGTAAAACATACCTCCGATTCACGGTGGATTATATAAATATATTGGGATTTGTGAAATTTGAAGACAATCGGACTCTTACATCGGATATTACGAAAGTTGTAATTATTCAAAATGTTGACCATTTATGGGGGAGTTACTTGATGGAGTGGACCGATATTGTCCATTTTTACACCTGACCTAGCACTGATGCAAAAATTGGGATTTACAAAGTTGGACCAAAATCGGATTACACTTTCTCTTTCTATGCAAAAAATATATTTTTTGAAAATTTCGACCTTTTGTGGGGGAGGTACCAGAAGGAGTGGACCGTGGAGGTACCAGAAGGAGTGCTCATCTCCGAACTCGATCTAAGTTTGACAAAAATATTACGATGTTCCCAGTTTGGACCAAATCGGATGCTCCCTTCGAGAGTTATCGTGCGCATCAACCAGCCAGACAGACAGACGGACGGACGGACGGACATCGCTAGATCGACTCCAAATGTACTGAAAAGGATTTGGTCCGAAGAGACCTAGGGCCTAAACCCGTTATTTCGACTAGGCACGTTTCGACCGTATCAATTTATATATACCCTCTCTAGCCATATGACTGAGGATATAAAAATACTAAATAGTTTCTAGGATTAAGAAGTAAAAAAGCAGGGCCGAACTTTGAAAACCCTCCACCATTTGGAACGAATTTGGCAATTCTCAAAACCAATAAAATCCTTTAAAACTACTGTTGGAATCTTAAAAATACCGAATGTAGCTATTATATTAGGGTCTATCTATCTATATAATGTAGCTAAAATCATCAAAATACGGAATATATGGAGGTACCATGGTGGTTATAAAACGTGGATCTGCACAGACAATTTTCTGTCATAGGCTGTAGCATCCATTACGAACTTCAAATGCGAAATTTGAAACAATTCCGGTAAATAATGTCGCTAAAATCATAAAAATACCTAATATCGGGAGGTACTATTACACCAAAACGTGGACCTGCACAGACAATGCACAGACAGTCATAGGCTGTAGCATCCATTACGAACTTCAAATACCAAATTTGAAATAGTTCCGGTAAATAATGTCGCTAAAATCATAAAAATACCTAAAATCGGGAGGTACTCTAATATGGGGGCTATACCAAAACGTGGACCTGCACGGACAATTTTCTGTCATTTATTGTATTATCCAATACGAACTTCAAATACCAAAATTGAAACAATTCCGGCGAATAATTTCGCTAAAATCATTAAAATACCGAATATCGCGGGGTACCGTTACATGGGGGCTATACGAAGACGTGGACCTACATGACCCATTTTCTGTGTTGTGCTGTAGTATCTATTACAAACTTCAAATACCAAATTTAAAACAATTCCGGTAAATAATGTTGCTAAAATCATCAAAATACCAAATATCGGGAGGTACCGCTATATGGGGGCTATACGAAGGCGTGGACCTACATGGCCCATCTTCTGTCTTAAGCTGTAACATCTATTACGAACTTTAAATATTAATATTGAAACAATTCCGGTAAAAAATGTCGCTAGAATCATCAAAATACCGAATATCGGGAGGTACCGTTGTATGGCGGCTATACGAAGACGTAGACCTACATGGCCCATTTTCAATACCAAAAGTCCTGCAGGCATAGTACACATTTGAGTAAAATTTTATCTGTCTACTTCATTTCGTTCGGAAGCTAGAGTGATTTCCACAGACGGACAGACGGACGGACATTGTTAAATCGACATAGAATTTTATGCTGATCAAGAATATATATACTTTGTGGGGTCTAAAATGTATATTTCGAGGTGTTACAAACGGAATGACAAACTTTATATACCATCCATACTATGGTGGAGGGTATAAAGAGGACATTAGTATGTATTAGTAAATAAAATTACACAACATCCTCTTGGCACAGGTGACTTGTTCTTAATTTTAATAATTTTTACCTCATTTAGTACAAAACCATCCCTTTTAGTTCTGTTTGAAAATTCGCACCATCCCTAACATGTTTTCAATTACCAAAAATGCTGGTCTAAACAGACATATGTATGTCTATACGTAACATATGACCAGATATTGCACAGCAGGACATAATATCAACGTTTATAACTGTTTGTTTGTGTTTGTGTCTGTGTGTGCGTTTAATGATTTTTTTTTTTTAAGAAAAACAAATATTTACTTATTTTCCCCCCCTCCTTTTTTGCTCTTCGCTTGGTCGTTCATTTCGAAGCTTGTTAAACGTTCACCGAACACCGCGAGCAAAAAGGAAAAGTGATATAAAAATGTCCTTGAGGCAATTTCTTTGCCAAGCGTTGATTATTATTGATGTCTGTTTGTTCGGTCGTTCGTTCGGTTGTTCGTTCATTTATTGGTCATATGGTCAGTCATTGGTAATTTGGTTTAGATGCGGTTAGGAAAAACAAACATGTGTGTGTGTGTATGTGTGTATTGAACCCGGAGCCATGATTGCCAGCCATTTCTGTTCATTGCTGGCTCTTGCGGAATTCCGATTTATGTTTGTTTATGGCAAACATTTTGAAAATGAATCAAATTTAATTGACTTGAAATTGATTTAAATGGTCAACTGACTTGGATGTTCGAGACGAATAGGGAGACACATGGATTGAAGAAGTGATGGTGATGGGGGGGGGATATAATAATTCTTCAATGTCTAGCTGTTGGTGTCTGTTTTATTCTTTATCCTATGTCTTGTTCCTTGACATTTTTCTATTGGCTTTCCATTGAAACGGTAGAAGTTCAATATTTTCCTTTCAATGTCTTTTTGATTGGTTTTAATGGTTTGTCTTGGCTAATTTATGACACAGAGAGACATTGGACTTTATGAAGTTTGGGGTTTTGTGGTCGATTTATGGAATTACAAAAGTTGAGAGTAATGGTGCTGAGAAGCCAAAAAATTCTTATTTCGGGGTATTAAATTTGCATTACGATT